CTTCTACCATTTTTTCAAATTATTGTTGCTTTTCCACAATAAGTTTTTCATTAAAAACGACCTCAAGCTCAATGAAAATTGTTGAGTATAATTGTTATAAGGCCATAAAATAACAAAAAAACAAATAACTTAGGACGAGCACACCTAAAAGTTGAATATTCTAATAATAGAATTATTAACAAAAACCAACAAAACCAAAAACCACATGATCAAGTTAGCAATGGAAAAGCTGCGCTTGATTGTAGTTGGCTTAACAAATGAAATAGTGGAAAAAAGCAACAAGAATTCACAAGGCCAACTTAGCACAGTGCGTAGGCAACTGGCTGAGTCAGTGGAATCGTCGGTTCGAATCCTACTGAAAGAAGTCTGATGAGGAAATGTGGTGATGTCCGAAATAGCTATCACTTCTACCATTTTTTCAAATTATTGTTGCTTTTCCACAATAAGTTTTTCATTAAAAACGGCCTCAAGCTCGATAAAAATTGTTGAATATAATTGTTATAAGGCCATAAAATAACAAAAAAAAACAAATAACTTAAGGACGAGCACACCTAAAAGTTAAACATTGTAATAACAGCATTATTAACGAAAACTAACAAAACCAACAACCACACGATTAATTTTAAATAGCAATAGAATAGCTGCGCTTGATTGTTGTTGGCTTAACAAATGAAATAGTGGAAAAAAGCAACAAGAATCCACAAGGCGAACTTAGGTGTGGTTACAGTGGTATTTCTATTGCGTGATTTATCAAGACCGTGTCTTCGGAAATAGCACTTTGATAAATTTTTTTTTAATAAGTAGGGTTTTTTCTATGGTATCCCCCATTTGCGCACTGATACATTTCTCCTGTATCACCTTGAAGAGTTCAGTAATAATTTTGTCACCCTCAGTTACCTTTCCCTTAAGGTACTCGGGTTAGTCTAAAACTGACTGATTCTTTATTTGCATTTTTGCTGAAAGTCGGGCTGCAGGTATTCCGAGCCAGATTTTTCTCCGCGTGCACTTTTCTAGTTATTGTGGTATATCTAGTTTTGGTTAGTTTTCTGTTTACTTCTTTGTTCCTATCTCTGATCGGGTCTTTAGTAGTATTTAGTGGTGGAAAATCCGCGTCCTCCACAGCAAAAAGGTCAAATCTGTTGCTATAGTTTCTTGCGTCGCGATAGTTTCTCGACTACGCTAATGTAGTTTACCTCTTGCTCCCGCCCAAAAATTCTTTGCCTTGAAAACCTATCTTAATGTTGGTAGTTGGAATTAGCTTTTTAGACTAATTTTTCCTCCTGGAAAAATGCATAACTGAGCTAATGGGGATTTCCGAGCTCGCATTGGCCTTAATTTCATCGACACTATCATTTATGGGCACACCTCTGATAACTCCTTGAGTTTCGATCGCCGTCCTTTCTGACGTGAGTTTCTCTTTCAATAAGACATTTTTTGCTGAGAAAAGGTTCTTGAATGTCACTTTACAGAGGGTGCGGCCTATCTTGGTTATAAGTTCCATGTCCTTAAATCTATAGCTTTTTAGTTGATCGAACAATGGCAGCCCATTGCTGATTCTACTTTCATTGTGGGCCTCGCAATTACTTACATTGATCAACACAAAAATATCGCCATGAAAATCTTGGGGGGTATACTATTATGTCCTCTACTGTATGGTGCGCAGTTGTCCTTTTGTTTGTACCCGCACTGTTTGTTGCACTGTTGTGCTTTTGTCTGTCCATGACTGTATTCACCACACTTGTAGAGCAACTGCCGTTAAGCGACGCGTTGCCTGTTTTCTCACCTACTCTTTCTTCCGCTACTTCATTAACTGTACCTTCCTGAGCGTCCATGTTTTCAACATGCGATTATCCCGTTTTTTTCCTAACCTCGCAAAATTCACTCATAATATCACTTTTGCCAATATTTCCGGCATTGTTTTTTAAGAAACCAATAATTCTGGCTTAATTTTCTCTTTTAAAACGTTTCCCTCTCGTCAAGCTTAACTCCGTAAGCGTTTCAAAATCTTCCGCCGATGATGGCCTCGAGAAGGATATCGAAGACGCCATTGGGGATTTTAGCTTTTTTGCTGCCTCGAGTATTTTCACTCGCAGATATTAACGAAAATGTTCCCCACACTAAAAATTTTGCAAAATACTCACCGAATGTCCGGTTTGTTAAAGTTGATGGCCTCTGTGCTGCCGCTGCCGAAAAACCCTCACAAATTGGCTAAAAGTCAAAGCTTCGAACCGCTGTCAAGGGTACCACACTTGCATGTAAGCACACCTATATAAAGAAAAACACTAAATAATTGCTTTAAATCGGTTAAATGCACTTTAAATGGGCTGGCGCAAAAATATAAAACACCAAAAAGCAAGATATTGCGCAGAAACGTTTGTGTGTCAATATCAAGGCGCGGACAAAAAGCTCCGCCAATCACTAATATATCTGTGGTCGTAACTAATCGCCTAAGTCGAAAAACCTGAATTCGAGAAAAAACGCTTTAAACATTTGGATTGTTATGAACCTTATGGGGAAACCAAAATATTTGCATTTATAACTTTTTAAATAGCCTAGCTAACGAGATGGGAGTTTCACATACACTTGGAATAGTAGTTGCAAAAATAATTTTGCTAATTTTTTCCACAAAGGCTAAAAGATCTTAAAAACTTTTTAAATGATTCTAGATGTATTAGCCCTAAAGCGGCATCCTTGTAGTAACATCACACATCAAAATACGAGCTTTCTCACAACTAATCGCGGCCAAAAATTGAGTGCTTCCAATTTTTCGCGATTTATAAAGTTGCGCTGCGAACAAAAGCATTTACGATTTCTTACGAGCAATATCAATGTTCGTAAAGATTACGAAAGAGCAAACTTCGCTGCAGTCGTCGTCCGTTCGATCCTTCGCGATCGTTCGCTGGCGTTTTTTTGTGAAACTCGATCAGTTATGCTGCGTTTTTGCTGCATTTAGAATACAACATTTAGCACTTTCGAACATATGCTTTCGAAGAGCGTTCATGCTATCGCAATTAGCAAATATACATTTACGCGAGTTCGAAATCGTATGGTTTTGACAAACAGCCGTGCTTCAGTCGCTTATTCAGATCCGTAACTGTCACGATCAATTCGCACGGAGAAGATAATGTGCAAAAAACCCTACTGAAAAGAAAAAAGAAATTTTATACAAAAAATTCAATACAAAAACTTGAATTGTTTTAACCATAACCGAAAATTTGTTTGTGTATATATTCATTTCTCGGTGCTATCAGATTTCTCTCAGCATCACATCGATGTTAAATTTGCGTAACTTTTCTTTATCCAAATAATGTAAAATAACTAGTAGCTAGCACCTGTATACGCGAAAAAGCAATGTTGCCACTTTTTCTCATTAAACCATGTTCGAATCGTAGAAATTTTTGAAGATCACAGGGTTGATTTTAGCATTTAAATTCGTAATGCAGGAATTGAGTTGCAATTAGTTGCATTTAGGCGACGAATTTTGTATGGATAAATGTGCTTTTAAATAGCATTTAAAGCTAAATGCGCTAAATATGCTTTCACGCGTAAGCAAAAACAGCCCATTACTCGTATTGTGAAGAATGAGCGTTCGTCTGGAGGATAAATCTGTAGCATTGTCTAATACTGTGCTGAAAAATAAAAATCATTATAGTATTCTATTGTCTTGCTAGTATACTTACGGTGACCATATTTATGGGAGCCGAATACGGAACAAAAATAATTTTGCTAATTTTTTCCACAAAGGTTAAAAGATCTTAAAACCTTTTTAAATGATTCTAGATGTATTAGCCCTAAAACAGCATCCTTGTAGTAACATCACACATTTGTAGGATACTTTCATCGAAATTTTTACTCCACAAATTTTGTACACAAAATTTTCGTATAATGAAGTACAAGTTTGAGGTACCATTAATTTTTGTCAATTTTTGTTGTTGACGGTACTACACATTTTTTTCATACAAAGTAAGTGTGCTCAACAATTTTTTGATAGGGAAGCAAATGAGCAGCACGTTGACCTCTCACTTTACTATAATCAATTTTAATGAACTACAAATCTTCAAGCAAATTTACTTCTAAAGATTCTGATCAAAAGGTTTTAAATTTTATTGAAACTTTGCAGAATTAATAATCATAGTTTTTGCACAAAGTCGGAAATTTCGATTTGTTTGGTTTTTGTTAGGAAAGGAGATTTACTTTCATACAAAAATAATAAACATTTATTAAACAAAAGAAAAATAGAGATGACCTTACGGGGGGGAATCGGTTCTCCTTACTGGCCGATTCACCCAAAGCGAAAAAGAAAAGAAAACAATATGAAAGAGTGACATTTGATTTTCCGGAACTTCCACAACCAACCAAAGACAACCCGAAGTTCGTCGTTATGTCTGCAGTAGGCAGTAACAAGAGCTTAGCTGATTATTCATGTTTCTTAGTGCACAAAGCAATACTTGCTATTAGCAAAGAAATCACCTCAATTACATCTCTACGCGACGGAAGCATCTTATTATTGGTGAAAAACAATGCAATTGCTAGCCGTTTTTTGAAAACAACATCATTACCAGGAGTATGTCAAATCGAATGCAAACTGCATAGCACTCTCAATCACGTGAAAGGTACCGTATATGCACCCTGTCTCAATAACGTAGACGAAAAAGAAATTGTCTCGGAGCTAAGTACCCAAGGTGTAGTAGGAGCATATAAATTCCTAAAAACGGTAGAAGGAAAATCTTTCCCATGTGGAGTCGTTTTATTAACTTTTGATTTGTACAACCTTCCAACAAAAATCGATATTTCTTGGCACTCTGTAAAAATCAGAGAATACATTCCCAACCAGATGCGATGCAAGGCATGCCAAATTCTAGGGCATACTGCAAAACACTGCAAAAACTCACCGAGTTGTGTTATATGCAACCTCCCACCCCACTCTCCAGCGCAATGTACACGTATCAGTTGCGCTAATAGCCAAGAACAGCATCCAGCCTCAGCAAAGGAATGTAAGAAATTTCTGCAAGCGAAAGAAATATTGAAAATAAAAACGACAAAAAAATGTACGATGCGTGAAGCCAGACGACTAGCAGGCAGCTTAACTAACAACAACACAATTGAGCAATCTTACTCTTCTATCACAACACGACAAACAAACAATCTTGTTAAAGACTCCACTTACACACTCCCCGAACCAGCATCAAACGATGAAAATACCTCCAGTACTCAAAGCAACATTCCAACTCGCAATTGTTCTCACCACTCTCCCAAATCCCAACCCAACAACATTAATACAAAATACAATGTAGACGAAATTAAACAGCATAAAGCTAATAAAGACAACGACAACAAAATTACACACAATTATTCTTTCACCAAACATAACAACAACTGCGCCCCACAATCAGCATCCGAAGCTTCTCAACACATAACAACACTGAACCAGCAGCAAGATGAACAACACGAGAGCTTTACATCTCCATATAATTCACCTCTACCAAGCATTTTTGCACACAACAGCAATACAACTAATACTGAAGGAATTAACTCTGATATATCTCTAACGCCGCTACCTGCTGAACTCCAGCACTTAGCTCCATTTCTGAATTCACTTAATTCAACGCCATATGGAAACATAGAAAAAAAAAATTAAATTTACAAAGTATACACATACAACAAAAAAAAAAAAAAAAAAAAATAACTAAGTATCTAAATAGTTACCTGAAGACAAAATATAATTCAATAATACTTATACATAATTTTTTTTTCGTATTTAAAAATATATATACTTACTTTTTCTTTGTGTAAATGTATTTTAAAGCTGTGCAGTGGAATATTCATGGGTACTATAACAATTATGCAGAGCTTACCCTACTAATTAAAGACTCAAACCCTGACGTAATCTGCCTACAGGAAACCCATCTACCAAACAACCATAATACCACAGTTGTCCCAAAAGCTTACACGTCTTATTTTTACAATTTTTCCAACTCAGCCACCCAAGGCGTAGGTATTCTTATTAAACGACACATACCCCACACGGCCATCCAAACAAATTCCAGTATATTATCAATAGCACTACAAATTAACTTAAATTTTTCGTTTACAATATCAAATATATATATACCGCCCCAAGACCAATTACTCTCGCAAGATCTTAGGTCCTTAATTCACATAGCTAAAACTCTCTTATTAATAGTCGGAGACTTTAACGGGTGGAGTCCATTTTGGGGCTCAAAAGTAGCAAACGCCAGAGGAAAGATAATTGAAGATATTGTACTCGCTGAAAATATTATTATACTTAATGATGGCTCTCCAACACATTTTTCCACAAGGAAAACACTTACACACGTATACCTTTCGCTCTGTTCTCCTGCACTATCTTCTCGTTGCAACTGGAAAGTGCTGGATGATTTATTCGGGAGTGACCATTTCCCAATTCTCACGGAAATACAAACAAACTTCCAGTTCCCAAATTTCCGGCCCGCTCCCAAATTTAAAACTGACCTCGCGAATTGGGACTATTTCCAACGTGAATGCAGCAAACTCTTCGGAACATGGACCTTTAAAAACATAACCATGAAGTCTCTAAAATATCGAAAGTTATTAGGTCTGCCGCCAACAAAGCTATACCACAAACCAAACCCTTGCCCTTGCGGCATCAAGTCCCTTGGTGGAATCGAGATCTCCAAAAACTGCGGAATAACAAACAAAAAAGTTGGCAACACTTCAAGGCTTCTCAAACGATTTCCAACCTTGTTGCATACAAAAAAGCCAATGCTGTTTTTCGCAAGCAACTCAGGGAGGCCAAAAGAAAGGCTTTGCAAGATTTCTCTTCAAAAATTACACCACTTTCCCCTCCGCTTAGACTAGGTCCAACATCAAAACCTTAACCGGACTTCCACCAACATCCATCCGTTCTGTCAGTTACAAGAATTCCGTCGTGTCCAATCCGTTCGACATTGCATCAGCGTTTGCTGAAACATGGTCCAGCTATTCGAATGACAGTAACTTTTCCAATGAATATACTACAAAAAAACAATATTTTCAATCACTAAAGTATTCTCCAAGTACCATTTGTGTAACTGCCAATAAATTGGAGGTAATTATCTCTTCCATCGAATTGGAAAATGCCGTCTCACTCTCCAAAGGAAAAACGCCAGGGTTAGATCGGATCTCATACCCGATGATTAAAAACCTACCTTTAATTGGGAAAAGAAAACTTTTAGATATTTACAACCTAATGCTCGAAAAAGGTGTCTACCCTCACACTTGGCTCAATGCAGTAGTAGTCCTGATCCCCAAGCCTAATAAGCCAGTTGAAAACATTAATAGCTACCGCCCTATATCGCTACTATCTTGTCTAGCAAAAATTTTTGAGAAGATCATAGCTACAAGAATTTCTTGGTTCATAACGCAAAACAACCTATGGACCGCAAAACAAGCTGGATTCAAGAAAGGTCACAGCACTATGGACGTCTTACTCCAAATCCAACATTTCGCGTTCGATGCACTTTCGTCCAAAGGTCATGCTACAATCATAGCGACCGACTTTGAAAAAGCATTTGATCGCATTGGAGCCCACACTGTACTAGAACAACTGCAGAGATGGAAAGTTGGTCTTAAAATCTTTGGCGTTGTCAAAGCCTTTTTGACCAAACGTAATTTCCTCGTTCGTGTACTGAACAAAACGTCCAAGCTTCATCCGTTACACAACGGAATCCCGCAAGGATCGCCCCTTTCCGCAGTTTTGTTCATCATTGCCTTTGACCAAGTAAGCAAGATCTTAGCAAAATTTAAAAAAGTCGACTACGGAATTTACGCGGACGACCTTATTATTTTCACCAAAATAGCTGACTTATCGCTTGTAAAAGAAACATTTTCCAGAATCCTCACAGACGTTGATAGATGGGGAAACTCGTCTGGGGCAGCATTATCGATCGGCAAATGCAAGACACTGCACATTTGCAAAAAACATAACTGCCCTAACCTCGAATTAACATTCAAAAATTTAAATATTGAGCAAACCAACACCCTAAAAATACTTGGTGTAATTTTTGATCACAGGCTTAACTTTAAGGCACATTGTTTAGAATTAAGGTATAACCTAGCTGCCAGGCTGAACATTGTTAAATTCTTGGCATCTAAAAAACTTCAAATACTTCAAATCTTATCAAAAATTAATTATGGTCTGCCAATTTATGGATGGTGTGCAAAAAGCAACATTCAAAAACTGTATGCCCCATACTACACTGCTATTCGTCGCAGCCTCAATGCTTTCCCAACATCCCCCACCAGAGCATTATTAGCCGAAGCAGGGTTACCTTCAATAGAAGAAAGAGTAAAGGAAGCTACGTGGGAACTTGCTCCCCACCTCTTTAACACAAAAAATCCGGTACTTTTCACTTGTTTTAGGAAAGTATTCAGCCACAAGCGAAGATTCAAATTGATATCTACCATACGCCGTTGTGCAGCATACTCCAAAAAACTGGGATTCGCGCCACAAAACAGCCGCAACAAAATAACCCCCCACCCTTGGTGGCTCTTTAACAGTGGCGTAATCAACACGAACCTGCATCGGCAAAAAAAAATCTGCAACAAGTCCTGAAATATACAGAAATCTCTTTCGCGACCAGCTTACTAAATACACCCAATCTAACTGGAATGTCATATATACAGATGGCTCAAAATCCAATGATGTAACCACGTTTGCGGTAGTCTCCCATACAGGTGAAGTCCTATCAGGGGGTTGGCTTCTTGCGGGAACTTCAGTCTTCACAGCCGAAGCGTTCGCCATTAAATTAGCTATCGACTACGCGGTCAAGCACAAAGGAAAGTACATAATCTGCACAGACAGCCTGTCATGCCTACACGCAATCCAAAACGTCAATTGCTCCAGTAACCTAATTCAAAACATTAAGACGACACTGCATACCCATACCGAAAAAGTTAACATACTATGGGTCCCCGGGCACGTTGGGATTACAGGCAACGAAGCAGCAAAACAAATGTATACCCAACCCTGCCTCACCTTCCCCACATCTGAAAAACACGATCTGAAGAGAATTATTGCAGCCGGCAATCAGGATCGAAAGTACAAAATATGGAAAGAATGCAAATCCAGATACAGTACATTTAACACATCAGGACAAAAGACGCTATTCCCGAACAACATCACCCGCAGTCAATCCACCACATTCATACGGTTACGCATCGGGCATACGATATTGACCCACGAACACATCTTCACAGGGATGCCAAGAAACGTTTGTCCGTGGTGCGGATTACCTCCCACAACTGACCACTTACTGGACGAATGCACTTTCCGCCAAATCGAGAGAAGCCAACATTTTAATGATATTAAACCATCCACCCTTCTTAAGGAACCCTCTTCAGAAAACATCAAAAAACTTTATAACTTTCTTAAACAATGTAGCTCGTTAAAATTCATATAGTACTTTTAAAATCACACAGGGAAACGATATAGCCACTGTGCATAAGATAGAGTCGAAAGCCCTGGCAGCTAGTACTCTTTTCCTAAATTAGACTCAAGCATGTATGTTTGTATCTAATAAAATAATAATAATAATAATAATAAAAGAAAAATAGAGATGATACTTTTCTAGGGCCAGATTTTCAATTTTCCTATTGGGTTGCATGCGGAGCTTTCCGGCCGGTAAAATCAAAAGCCAAAATTTATTTTTCCTTCTCTCTCCTACGCGTTTCGGCGTCCTTCACTCCTTCATCAGGGAGTCTGATAATTTATTGAAAACACAAAACATAAAAACACAACAATTAAACATATACACCCGTATGCTGTAATCCGAAAGTTCGTAGTTACGAATTCGTAGCTCCGTTCCGAAAATTCGAAAATTGGTATGCTGTAATCCGATCGCAACTATCAACGGCGTTGCCAACTAAAATAGTGAAATTCGAAGTTTTTAATCAGCTGCTTTGACACAAACAAATCAAAATAAATATAATCGCAAGTGAACAGTGAAATTAAAAAAAAAAAATTTTTATCGTATTTGAAAAGGCTTTTCCTTAATTAAGTAAAATATAATAGATTCCAGTGTGACCACTTTGTGAGTAATTCCTCAAAACGTGAGGAATTTCGGGTGCGCTTGAGTATTTTTTGAGGATTTTTATTTTGAGGAACTTTTGAGGAATTTTCTCTCGATATATTTGCAGATAACCAATGCAACCATGTTTTGCACAACAGAATGGTTAAATCGCTCTGCAAATTTTTGAACAAAAAGCTTTCCAAAGTTTTAAAAACAGCGAAAAACAAACATTCTTCAAACCTACTTTTCCCATTTCGCCATACACCATGCAAACATGACTCGTTCAAGCAAAGAATTTTAGTTTTCTTCCGGTTCCGGTTTTGATTTTTGTTCACTTTTCCTCAAACGGCTTGTCAAACCTTCAAACACCCCCATACACAACATAAATAGCTTTAAGCAAAGGGATATTTCGCTTGGTTTATCAAGCCCCTTGTGTGGTGTTTTTCGCTCTTACCGGCCGTCTTCACGAGCTGGAAAATCCCGCTTGCGTGACGACGAATGCGAGATCCCGCACGTGTGTTTACGGCTCATTTGTAATTTATAAGCAAATCATGCTGAAAACAAGTAATTTCGCCTTGTAAAATCTGTC